ATTTTCAAGACTATTGAAGTAGACTAGCGCATCGGAGATAGTTTAGTGACGAGTTTTGCATCTTTCAATTTTCTCTAGAGAGGGAAGTGCTATAAAAAATGCACGAAAATTCAAAAATCATAACCTTCCCTGAACACTGCACTTAAGGAATGGCGAGACTTGCATAAAGTTGACTTTTAGATGCAAAACCGTCTCGTTGTTGTGCTGTGCAACCTGAAGCCGGCGAAAATGCGAGGTGTTGAGTCTCGAGCGATGGTGATGTGTGCATCTTCTCCTGAAAAGGTATACTTATTGTGCTACATAGTCGGTGATACGGCAAACGAAACGACTTCTGCTTTAGGTGGAAATAATGGAAGTGGATCAATCATCTCAACCCGGAACACCAGTGTTTTGTCCACCATACAATCACAGACCAGATGCTCAGCTGAATCCCAAAAAGAAGGTAGGAAAAAGCACCTATTCATTTTCGCTAGGCTTAAGCTCCCTTCTTTTTTTCATATGCTGTTTACAGATTTGGGAAACTGTAGCGGAAGACCTTAAAGTTAGTTCCGATGGATATGCTGTTTGGAAGGACTGTCCTCTTCTTGTTGGCGGTGAAACAAAAATGACTGCTCCAACGTTGCGATGTGTTTCCATCAAGTAGGCCTTGATGTAAAAATTGTCAACAGTCGTTACTATAATTGTTCCTGTTAGCTTTAGCGGTTTTGTTGACAACTTTATTGTTTTCTAGATAACGTTTTAGACTGGCTCTCCCAACTGTTAATGTTTGTTTTTCATAGTCTATAATGATCTTCTTCCTGAATGGTTGTCTTTTGCGTTTGGTTAATAAGGTTTTATTGATGATGTTGCCGGTTAAAGGGATAAAGAATCGATCGTATCTATTCGAATTGGGAGCTGTTACAGCGGCTACAAATATTTCTTAAAGCTTTGGGAGCATTTTTGTTCATTCCTAGTAATTAATAAATAGCGTTTATATCCGAACCTCATTCAAGACCAGTGGATTTACTGCAATCCTTATTATAGGTTGATGCTGATAATCAAAGCTTATATTTTTCCGATGCCAATTTGAAATTTGCATCGATAGTTCGCCGCGACGAATTTTTTCAGTACTTTGCTGAACTTTTGAGTTTGATAATATACTGCAGAGTCGTAGTGCAACTATGACAGTCAATAAAACTTGAGTTTTCAGGGATTTGTGGTAGAGAAAAATTTATATGCACGGTTGTCTACTTTACTAGGCGAGATTGGCGACTTCTCTGGATCTTGCGTAGAGAGATGGATCTGGATGCCTTCTCACTGTTCTGGAACAATATAATTCTATCAAGAAATGTTCCATTGATTAATTTGGATTTGGTTCTCGCTCATTTTTCATACATCACAACATGCCTGAAATTGTTTGTAGTGCTCTTGCTGCTCTCCTGTTATCTGTAGGCATTTCGTTACATTTAAATAAGAGCCAATCTATTTTTTTAGTATACCACGGTACAAATGTCGAAGAAGAAAAGTTCAAATCTCTTAGGATTAGATGATGAACGATTTGCGCATCTGCGCTCAGATCCGAAATATTCTGGTTTGAGCAATAAAGAGAGAAAGGTGAGTTAGTGGCAT